AATCATTTCAACCATTAAGTTCGATATTTGGATACAGTGTAATATAAGTAATTTCAACTATAGAAATTTTGCATGATTTTGTACAATTATTTTCTTGTCTTAGAAATAAAGGGTGATTTATTTCCAGGTTCCCAAAGAAAATTTAAGTTTAATGCGGAGTGTTTGTTCTCATTCGAAAGAACATTCTGTGGTATTTTTTTTTTTTTTTAGAAATATCTCTTTCAAATGCTGGCCGTGGCTACGTCTCAGATCGTCCATTCGTTGTGTTCAATTTTCGATGACTCGTTTGAGAATTTCAACTGATAACTGGCGAATGACATGCGTGATTTTTGCTTCCAGTCCGAATCGAAGCGGGATTTTCCGCGTAAACAATAGACATTTTGAAGAAATATGAACCGATGATTCCAACGGCCCACAAACCATACTAAACCGTTTTTTTCAAGATGAAATAGCAGCGTTTTAATCTCTTCAGTTTGCTGTTTGTTTCAAATGCGGCATTTTTGCTTGTTTGCATGCCCAATGGGCCAGAAATGAGTCTCATCGATGAACAAAATTTTGGTACGAAAACGTCGACTTTTCTTGTTACATTTCAAGAGCCCATAAAGCAAAGTGATGTCGCTTGAAAAGTGCTAGCGGCTTCATCTCTTGTTTTATATGTCAGATCTTGACGTAAAATATGCCAAGTCATTGCATACGTCAGTTCGAGTTGCTGCGAACGGCGTCGAATCGACTCTCCAGGGTCTACGTGTACACTCTCAGCCATGACTATATTTTCTTCTCTGCATCCGGCGTACTGCGTGCTCCATTCGGTCGAATATTATCGAATAATGATTGTTCGGTCTCAAGATGAGTGATGGTGTTGCATATAGTATGCGAATAGAAACTGATAATGTTGTACACAAGTTGAGCGAATCACGCGTGATTTGTCAAAAAGAGGTAATTGAAGAAAGTACTCCCTTCTTCCAACCTCTACTTGCATCACCCGTTACATTGTTTCATTAAATTTACCAATAACAACTTACAAATCATATAGCTACTCGCCAATTAATAATGATTTAATTATGTTGCTATTGTTTTTGTTAATTTTTATACAAAGCATATGACTTGATATTGGTTTGGTAATTTGAAACTAATATTCATACACATATATGTAAATATGTAAGTAAAAACATTGTTGATACACATTTAGAAGTAGACAACTATTTGCTTACTCCTTTATTTTGTATTATCATATGTTATTCTTCAGCGTCAAATAACTCACGAATTCCACAAAGAACAAAAAAAAAAATATTCAAAAATAAAATTGGAAAATTGTAATCGCTCATTGTGGACATTTGCACTGTCAACTTCAAATTCCTGTAAATACTTAATAGCTCGATAGCAGTGCAAATCAAGCGGAGCAAACGAAATCGAGACACTTCAATGAATCACAATTTACAGACAGACATTTACATATGCATACATACAAATTCATATATCTTTTTTCCTTTTTGTTTATTTCTGTTGTTGGATAGAATCAATTGCCTATAGATGGCTTGTAAATATTTTATTGCAAAATAATTCTCATACAAACATACTTACATATGCATAGATGCAAGGGATATATAATATATGTATATGTATGTATGTTTATAAAGACATCTGTATATTAATTCTGGCACGTAACGGTCAGACAGGCAGTTGAAGTGAGCTTAGTCAGCAGCATGTCGCTCATTTCTGTATATATTATATGTATATACGAGTTTGTATATGTGTATGTTACATAAGAATACCCAAAAATGAAAAGCTGCAGTAATATGTAAGAATTCCAGCCTCCTCACTACTAGACTTTTCATGATGAGAACATACAAGTTCGCCCATTAGTAGAAAAGAGATTTTCCATTCTCAACACACGACACTTGAGTGTTGCATTCTTGCTTCTTTCTTTCTACTTTCTTTGTTGTTGGTTTTATAATAGCGTCAAAACCGAATTGATTCACACTTCTCTGTATTCAGAATTTTTATTAAAATTAACACAGTAGAAATTCAGCATAAATAGCTGAACTAGTATTTAACTAGTATGAAGCTGATGCATAGTTGAAAAGTTAATGTTTTTTAAAGGACGTCGCGGCGCTAAAAATACTAGTGGGTAATTTGGGGAAAAAGCGAATGACTTAGAACCTTTACTATGGGAAATACTGTAAAATTGTAGAAGAAGAGAAGTCTTCATACCTCCATATCTATGGCAAATGTATGGTTTTTCACTTTAGGTTTATGAACCAAAATATCCAATTTTAAAATTGATCTGATCTGGTCGAAATCATCGTTTAAATGTACCAGTTCATCTGTGTATGAAGTTTGGCTGTAATATCTCAAAAACTGAGGGAGTAGTTTACGTACAAACAGGCAGACATATGAACAGGCGGACATTTTTATACCAACACTGCTCGACATTCTGATCCGATCAGTATAAATTTCGACTTACTTCGGACGATGGTCAAAGCCTTTCACCCCTAAAAACCATAAACGACTTGATCTATCAACACAGCCAGAGACGTGTACTTTTTTTTTTGGTCCCGGTTCCCCAAAATGTTTCATTTTTGTGGATCAAAAACCATGTCGGACGGTATAATATTCATGATCAGGGGCTCTTGGAAATAATATTAGGTTAAGTTGCTTTGGCTTCACTAAGGAAATAATAATGCGAATGGTGAATATTTAAGTTACGTGGAATTAGCCTACCCAGCAACGCCTGGTTGGTGTCTTATGTGAGAGACTAAAACCCATCGGCATTGAACAGTTCAGTCGTTATCAGTGAAGGCTTAGAACTGGTTGATCCACAACAGGCCAGTGATTCACAAACGCTATGACCTGAAAAAGATTCGACAGAAAAGAACTATTTGATAACAAACAAGGGCTAGACAAAATATCTCCGGTCATGAAACATACAGCATCGCTGTATCTCCCGCGACACTATTCACAGAACTATATAATTCCATTAACCAACAACAATCTCAGCCTGGAAATTCTAAGCAGTATCACTCTCACCAACCGGTGCTACTTGGGAAGAAAATTAAAAAAAATCCTCTCTCGACAAACAAAAATTAAAAACTCTACAATTCGCCCATTTTTGCGTTCCATTTTATTATTCAGAAGCGCTAACGCGTTTCGCGGAAGATTTCCAGTTCCATTTGGCGCTGATGGAGGAAGAAAATAAAAGTTGATTCGGCTATAGCCGTATAAGTGGTGTCAAAGCAAGTTAAGAAGAAGGAGTAGCTGCCCAAAACAGGGCTCGAAACAAGTAAGCACTGTGTACTGAGGTTGGCTGGATCTAAGTAAGCTTCGGTCCATTATCCAGTATGTTTTCTGTAAGTGCTATTGGATTATGCTAGATGGCATTGGAAAGACAATACTTTTAATAAAAAGATAATTGAATCGTACTTCGACTAGTGATGAAAAGTGTATCACTTACAGCAACCTGAAATGGAAAAGGTCTCGATCGAAGAGCAGTGACCTGCCACAAGAGGTCTCCAAGCTTTAAGTTACGGCCAGGAAGGTTTTGTATCAAGACAACACCAGACTACACACATCAATAGGGACTCACTAAAAGCGCCGAGCTTGGTAGAGAAGTTCTTATGCATCTATCCTATAGTCCAGACCGCGCACCAAGTGATTACTATCTATGGTAAATAATACAGCAGGTGAAGAATTGGTGTCAAGAGAAGCCTGCAAAAATCGATTGCATCAATATTTGGCCATCAGAGACAAAGGTTTGTATGGGAGAAGTGGCAAAAATGATCGACCAGAACTGTTAACTCCAAAATAAGCATTTGAAATGGATTCAAATAACCGAAAAATTTTAAAATTTTTCTAAAATTAATCAACCATTTAAATTTGTACCGTTAAAAAGTTCTTTAGTATCCCTCTGTTGGCCTTCTCCGCTCTAATCGAAACATAAAGAACAAAGAAAAACTCAACTCAGCCAACCTTGAAGAATATCTGAGCATATTTGTTTCGGTTGTAATATTGAAATATCTCTGAGTTAAAAAAAAAAAACAAAAAAACAAAAAATACAAATTTTAACTATTAGATGTTTTTAATTATTTATTATTTAGCTAAAAGCAATTTAAGAATCTAATGAAAATTTTACAAGTAAATTCGACAACAACAATTCAACAATTGTGGTATTTTCATTTAACTACAAAAACAACAACAGCAATTAAACACATTCCACAAAGTTACATCAGCACACCTTGAAATAGATTTTAAAATGCAAAGCTTAGATTGCTGATTTGGTAGGGTAAAGCTAAATTGAAATAAAAAAAAAATATAAAATAAATTGAAATAAAAAAATATAAAATAAATTGAATGGAAATTTTATTTAATTTTAGTTAGATTTCTAAGTGAGACTTTGCTATTAGAATACACGAGTGTTATACATATATATGTACACATGTGAATATATTTGCCTAGAGGAATGGCTTCATCTTGGCTCATTCATTAGTTTTCCTCTATATAAATACATATATATACATATGTATGTATCCACGTATGTGGGTTAGCCAATCTGCTTGTGACTAAAGCAGAAATTCATTGCACAATAAAACTTAATTTAGAATGGTCACAAATAAATAACCCATTTATTGGTTTACATAAATTTTTAATTGTCAGCAATTACTATTTCAATTTATTTGTATTTATTGAGCAAAACGCTGAGCTACTTCTTGGCAAGAAATGATTATTTTTTGTTTTTACTTTTAGTGAGAATACTAATATGCGTTAAAGTATTGCGAATAGTTTAATTAAAAAATACTTAAGATTAATTTTAAAAGCCAAAATGTATGGCAACACTTGGAAATTGCAAATCATTTACTAACCCCGGATGAATATAAGGCAAAGGTAAAAATTGTCGGCTTCTCTACCGGAGTTCTGATTTTCCTAACACAACCGCCTTGATTTTCATTTATTCAAATCACAAAAAAATATGTTAAGAATAAATATAATATAAAAATCCAACTCACCTTAGCTTGAAATGTGATGCCATGGAAGAAGGCCTGTTCGGCATGCAACGGCACCCGCAAATCCTGTTCATCTTGCACCAAATCGTACGGTGTTGACGGCATTCTCAAATAGTTTAATATCACTGATTCAGACCACTTGTAGTATCATGAAATTGTTTTCATTTTTTTCTCACCACGCTTGTGCAATGAGCGACGGATGTGCCATAAAATGCCGTTATGACTATTATTCGACGGATTTTGCGAACTCATACAAAGCACCAAAACAATGACCGGACACACGCGAAGTAAAAACAATGAGCTAGGCAATGATAATGAATGAAATTTAAATTAAAATTACACAATTATGTAATAAAATTTACTGGTTTTGTATTTGCTTTTTAGAATGCTACTTTTTTAGTTTTATTATTATTTTTTTTTCTAGTAATTCATTAAGCTACTACACTACAAATTGATTTAAATTAAAACGCTTTCACTCCGACTAATTTATTAATTGAAATTCAAACGCATTTATGCAATGTTCTCCGGTAGCTGGATGGAAAACTGTAATTGGAAGAGCGTAAAATAATTCATTATTAAATTATTATTTAATATGAAGTGACGTGAATTTATAAAAAAAAACAGCTAAATTTATGTAAATGTAAACTTCTAATTTGCTTGCAAATGTGTTAATACGCACAAAGTAAATAACGACTATTATGTATTTATTATGTACTTGTACTCGTATAAAACTATGTTTAGGAATTTAATATTTAATTGGTTTGTTTTTTGGAATATTCATTTTATTTCAATAAAAACAAAATGAATTATATTTTTAATTTCATCTCATTTTGCTTTATTTAAATTAATTTTATTTTACTATAATTTATTTCATTATTTTTATTTTTAATTTATTTTTCTACTTCACTTGACTTTACTTTGCTTTATTTAATTTAATTGAATTGTCTTTATTTTATTTTATTTCATTTCATTTCATTTCATTTCATTTCATTTCATTTCATTTCATTTCATTTCATTTCATTTCATTTCATTTCATTTTATTTTATTTTATTTTATTTTATTTTATTTTATTTTATTTTATTTTATTTTATTTTATTTTATTTTATTTTATTTTATTTTATTTTATTTTATTTTATTTTATTTTATTTTATTTTATTTTATTTTATTTTATTTTATTTCATTTCATTTCATTTCATTTCATTTTATTTTATTTTATTCTATTTTGGTTTAGCTTAATTTTTAGTATTTGTTGTGGTACTTTTCCGAATCATTATTTAACGTTAGCTAACTTAACGCCTGAGCTATTAATGACTAATAGCCACACCAAAGCGTCATTTTTAGCCAATCATTAATGAGACTCCGACATTCGTTTGGTCTGTGATTTCGCACGAAAAATGCAAATTAAATAATTTCGCTTCGCCGTTGGCGTTGTGTGACGCATAACGCTTTCTTTATTATGCAAATTTATGTAATGACTATGAAAGAGAAGTGAAAATATAAACTTTTTCACAAAGTATGCATGACCAAACCTCTAAGAATGGTTCATATACTAAAGGTGCAACATTTAAGGGTAGTAAGGATAAATTCTATCTACTGCAGCCACAACTGCGATAGCAACTTTTAGTTAGATAATTGGCCAGAATATTTTTAAAGGTAAAAAAATATAAGCTTTGAAAAAGTTCGTCTTTAATATCAGGACGTTGAGCTATATTTTTATCAGGAGATCACTATGTTTAATTAAAATTATGTTTCTGTAAAACTTTCTGGTTTTAATTTTCGCACCTTCACACTGGAAATGATCAATAGAAATTGATTTTTATTCTACTGAAGTACTAACAAATCAAAAAAATGTTCATTCATCAACACCTTACCAATTTTTATCTTCGTAAAATAGCTGCCAAAAGCACAAAGAAAAACCATGCCAGAGGGCAAGCACCTGCCTGAAGTCAAACATTGCCTTAATCACCTTTCACGGCACATTAACAACATCAAGACTGGTGGCATGAACATACACATATATGTATGTACATGAGTAATGACTAACTTCTGCAGCATAACTCACCAATAGTCTTGAGCAAAAGACCAGTGACTGACCACAATTTTTGGGATTGTGGAAAAAATTATGCGCAGACATGTTTTGCATACATATTTATTTTGTCAAATATTCATAGGTGTTCTTGTGTAAGTGCATGTGTACCTACAAAGCAAGTATTATCTCATCTAAAATCGCACAAAAACCAAGTTTTTTACTCCAACATGGCTATCGAGCTCGTTTATCGAAGCGTTCTTATGGCCAACGGGTAAATTAAAATTTGCTTCGCATTTCGTGGAGTTTCTTTTTGGGCACTTCTCTTCCGTGTGAAGTTTGGAAATACATTCTTATTAATATTTTTTTATTTTAGCTTATTTTTGTTAATTTTTTTTTTGCACACACGTTTAGCTATAAATTTTTGCACATTCGCGAAATTGCTTTTGTTGTTTACCTCATTCGACGCTCCACTTTGCGGCTTTACTGCTTTTATCTCTTTTATGTGTATCTTTCCTTGACTATTTTGGCTAGTTGACTTGAATTTTGAATTTGCAAATCTTAACCGTTTTTTTATGCTTATTTTTAAGTTTTTTTTTTCTTGCGATTATTGTTGTTGTGCCAACTGGTTTATTGTCGTCTCAATCAAAACTTCGTAGCTGGTTTTTACCTACTGGCCGATTTCTGTTACTTTTAAAACTTTTTTTTTTTTTGTTTTGTTTTTAATAATAACTCAGCAGCTGCTTCGCAATCATTTCTGGAGTATTAAATAAAGCCGCTTAATTATCTGTTTATATGTATGTACGTATATATACCACACCCCCGACTGCACGACGTTTAGAGTGAAAAAATATTTCATAATATTTTGCAATCACTTTTTTGTTTTTCTTTTGTTTTTCTCCGCAACGAATGTGTTTTTTTTTCTGTCTTTTAAAGCGTCGGTTAAAGAAATGTTCGTTTTTAGATTGTGAAAATGGCAGAGAACAGCTGTTGCTGCTAAGCGCATACTCTTATCGTGAGATAAATGGCGCTGTGGTCATTATGTCAGCTATAAAATGAATTTTTAATACGTTTTTTTTTTTTGAGAAGGAGGAGTAAAACTTCAATACTTAAATATCTCTTTGGGCAATGTGAGTAGGACTATATCGAATGGATGGAAGAAGAGAGGCGCATCGCACGGTGTGTGCACTGCTGCTCGGCGCGAGTAAAACAAATGGAACGGAGGTTACCAGCACGAGCAAAACGAGTACATCATGACCCGGAGCCAAGATATCCACCCAGCTCAGTGTAGCCAAGGTTGCCCGTCAACCAACACATGGAAGTTTAGACGTCGAGAAGTCACAATCTGCTCTATCTGCAGTCCTCCTGAGAACATTAATCGACAATTCAGTATAAAACAACTGTGGGACCGCATATCAAGCTGCCTTAATACAGCCGTCAACGAAACTATTAGTTATCTACAAAAAAAAGAGTGGCTTCCTGGCAACGTTGCGAACGACTGCTACAAGTGCTGTATGGGGAAACACCAGAATTGAAGAGGGAAGTGAGACGGATTAGAGACAGAAAAGAAATAATCCAAAATGTTTGAGTGTAAAGAGTATGGAAAGCTGGATCCGAGTATACACATGAAAATCCCGAGGAGTTCATGTAGTAGCGAAGCTTAAAGTATGCAGGAAAGACTTGGCCAGCCTGCTCAAAGCTGGAAAAAGACCTATGATGAAACGACTGATACATACCACCTCTTCTTCGATTTTAAAGCAGCCTTGAACAGGAGCTGCTCCTATCTTATACAGCTGTTAGAGCCGGCTCCACACAACACAGAAATCCCCGTCAGGCTTTGAGAGAACCTGAGCGATGTCATTGACATGAAACTGGCGTGAAAGCTTTCTTTTTTCCTCAGATACAGAGCATAATTTTCAAAAAACCTCTGTGAAGTAAATTATTTTCTGAATTTGGGTGATCTAAGAACTAATACAATTGGCCTTGGAGTGCACTCCCAGCCTGAGCAAGATGAGTTCAAAGCTGACTAAGTTTTCTTAGCTCAACAAAAAATTAAAGAAAATTGTGATAGACAAAACTCGAGGTACACTTTCAAGTCATTAAAAGCTCTTTTAACAAAAATGATAACAACAACAACAATATCAACAAAATATAACATTTCTGCGCAAAGTTTTGCATTAATATTGAAAGCAAAATTGTTTAGATAAATATAATAAAAAGCACATATACACAAATAATGAAATAGAATGTGATAGAGTGTGTTGAATACATACATAAATACAGATTGCCATTGTCTATGACAAAGCCAATTCAGGGATAAAACTTTTATTTGAAACTGTCGCATACAGGTGTTGCTAGAAAATATTAAAACTTTTCATAATCCCATTGCGCCAATAATACACATTTATATATGTACATTCCTCTGCGTATATGTTTGTGTATAAAAACTGCAACATGTTGACATTGGCACCGAAACTAATACAATATTTTGGAAAATTGCACGAAATCTGATAAACGAATTTCAACAACTTTTGCCAAAATAGAAAAAAAATAAGCCTAATAAATAAAACATAAAAAATAAAATTGTAATATAAACTATAAAATATATAATATAAAGTATAAAATATAAAATATATAATATAAATAAAAAATATAAAATTTAAATATAAATTATAAAATATAAAATATAAAAAATAAAATATAAAATATAAAATATAAAATATAAAATATAAAATATAAAAAATAAAATATAGAATATAAAATTAAAATATAAATTATAAAATAAAAATATAAATAGAAGAAAAATAAAATTAATAAAAAAATAAAGAATAATATATATTTAAAAAACAAAACTTTCTTAACTATTCGTAAAATTGTTTTAAAAATGTTTTTCTTTTTAAGAAATTTTTATTAAATTTTTTCATACACTAATATTCGTTCATTTGTTTTACTACTTTCATCACAGCATAAAGTATATTGAAATGCTCTGCTTCATTATTTAAATTCACACAATCTCAAAAAAAAAAGTTTTTAATCAAAAGTTTCATAAAAGCGCAAATAGAAAAGCAAAATACCCACACATATGCTTTGAAAGTATTAATTAATCTTAATTGTATAAATTTGGAGTCTTCATTGATGAGCCAATGCACACTGCTGCATACGGACATATGTATATATGTATTGCTGCGTGAATGTAAACTTTTAAAATAATTAGTAATTGTCATTTTGGTAGTTTCGTCATGGAGGGTCTTTGCCCCACGCAAGCAAAAACAATGCAGAGAACAACTTCAAAGGGTCGTTTTGGTAATAGCACATATATGTATGTATTGTACATATGTAGCAAGTAGTGGAATTTTAGGGCACAATTGAAGATGGTGAAGTAATTTAACAATTAATGGAAGTTGAGGATAATTGATCAAACGATTGAGAACTTTTATCTCGTTTGATATAAAGTTTAATTAAAAAATTACAATCTATTGAAGCTATCAATTTATAAAGCTGTTAAATAGCCTGCTCA